TAGGAAGGAGGCTCTGGCAAACCACTTCCGAAAACACCTTGCCTTGAAAACTGCAATGACTCGTCCAAGCAGTCACCATAGAGTCAGTAATGACTGAGTGCAGATTAAAAAAAAAAAAAAAGATTAAGATTGCTAGAAGTAAAAGGAAGGAATACAAAGTTGGTTTATTTGATCAAGGTTAAAATAGATGTGTTATTATCTCTGGTAACCCTTAATGGATTTTTGCTGACAATGACTGAAATGATGAGGCTTTATGGCTTTGTTTATAGATAAGAGATGGGATATGAGAAGAAGAGAACATTTGTTATATTTTAAGAAGTGATAAATTACTGAAATTGTTTATACTTGTGATGAAGGTGGGAAGTCACTTCTTTATATATTTCTTTTCTTTTTTTTTACTATATTCTTTTCATTCTTTTCTATTTCTATTTCTCTTTCTCTTTTTTTTTTCCTTTCTTTTCTGCACCTTCTACTCTTTGTTTTTATTCCTCTATCTTTTTTTTTTCTGTTTGTATTAGTTTTTACTGTTATAAATATAATCTTTAATAAAATTACTACCAAAAAAAAACAATTTTTGGAGAAATACAAATAATAGGATATTATGTAGCTTCTATCCAACTACAGACTTCACAAGTGGGAAAAAAAAGTAAGTTCATTTTAAAATATGAAGCAAACAAATTTATTTTCTGTCAGATTAATGTTCCAAAAGGTTAGTTTGGTTTGCAGTATTTTTTATAAGGACAGAACAATGTACTATATTGTCTTTAGAAATGTTTGAATGAATTCATAAGAACAGAATGAGGAACTGCAATTCTTATTTAAGATATTATTTAAAGATATACCCAAACTGTTAATATGTAGCCAAGAGAATACTATGAGTAACCAACAGGTGAATTACTCCATCAGAACAAAGTCCTGCTATAAAATATATTGTCGTTTTCTGCATATATAAATATGTGCACATGTAATACTTCTGTGCCATCCTTTCTATTAGTGAGGGTTTGGGAAGTGGTGCCAACAAAGATGACACGCAGTCAGGACATGGTGGTGGTGATGATGCTACTACATGGAGTAATGGGCACCATGGTCAAACTGAACAATGGTGGCTTTGAAGACATTGTTATTGCAATTAATCCAATGATACCTGAAGATGACAAAATTGTTACCAGTATAAAGGTATGATTATTAGACTTTTCTGAATATATTAACTTTATAATACAGTAAAGATTCTGCTGGATATATAGTGGTAAAATCTACTTGTCTTCTGTAAATTATGAAGTAAATTCCAAGATGTGTGTATTATGGTGGACAACTCACTGTGTCAAGGGCTGTGCAATTGAAGACCAATTTGATAATAAGAAAAGAGACACTTTCTGATGGGCCGTAGACTGAACAGGTGCAAATATCAACAGGTGCTCACAAACTTTCTAGCTGAAATATATTTCTTTTTAAATTATAGTTATAATCGGTATTTTTTTCTACCTCTATCCATAATGCAAATTTAATTCTGTCTAATATTTTGTCCTTTTAGTGATGTTTTTCTCTGTTTGGTGATGTGTAAGTGTACACCCTGCTTTTACTACTGTTCCACCATTCATGTTTACGAAACAGCAAAGGGATTCATAAACATTTCAACCAAGTTGATCACTCTGTCCCAGAATGCTGGCCTTTATCACACAGACTTTGTATTCCATTTTAAAAGTATTCCACTCTCAGATGATTCTAATAGCTGACTAGTCTCCCTCCCTCGCCATTTTGAAGGAGAGATGTATAAATCCTCCTTCATTTCAGGCAATTGTATGATTTGATCTCTGGCACTATATGTCATATTAGTGTTGGCCTTCCCCAACTTGGTGCTTTTTAGCTAAGTTGAACTACAAGTCCTACCATTTTCAATCAATGTGGCCAATGAATATGTTGACTGGGATTATGGGAACTGTAATTCAGTGCATCAGGAAGATATAGAGAGTGAGAAAAACTGATACAGATAAGGTGGAAGAAAAGTATTGTGAGCTTTAGCAGAGTTGGTTTCACAGTTTAGGACTGCATAGTTATTTCATAATTTTATTTTAATGGATCCCATTCACATGCATTTAACTCTTTTTCATTATTTCTCTACATAGCAGATAGCCTCATCTGCTAATTTCCTAAATGTCAAGATTCTATTAAGGGTTCAGGAAAAAAAAATGTATATAGAAGGAACAGAAAAAGATGCAAAAACATAATTTGTGACTCTCAAATCCTGGGAAGTTGAGGTACAGGCAGAGTTATCTGATCTTTCAGATTTTTTCAGGCAACATGTGAAACCCCAAAATAAACATCAGATCAAATGAGAGTGCAAAGTAAAACAAGATAAATGCAATGAACAGAACCCTAGGACAAGCAGTAGGTATTGACAGTACTCCACAACAAAGTGAATATATTTATGTTTTGTTTTCCTATTAGGATATGGTTAAAGAAGCATCCAATTATCTTATCAATGCTACGGAACAAAGATTTTACTTTAAGTCTGTAAAAATTATAATTCCATTGACATGGATACCAAAAAAAGAATATAAAAGAGTAACAAGAGAATCCTATGAAAAGGTAAGTGGGGTTAAAAATCCTATGAAAAAATAAGTGGGGTTAAAATACCTTTAAAATATGTGATATTTTAAAAGACAGAAACTATAACACTATATAACAGGAGGTATCTGATTTTGTCTGCCACTGGCCCTTACAACTCAGTTGTCTTCTCCTATTGCAGTTGCTTTAAAAGGGTATTCGCCTTTTAATGGTCCTACCAAGAGAGTCTGAAAGAGCTGGATATGTTTAGTCTGGAGAGAAAATGATATAGGATATAGGATACTCTTCAAATACCTGAAAAGATATCAGAGAGAAGGTCAAGAGCTGTTCTCTCTCTCTTTCTCATTCCAAAGGGCAGGACAGAGAATAATAGATTTTAGTTATAGGAAGGCAGATTCCGGCTAAATATTAGGGGAAAAAAATTCTGTAAGAACAGTTCAACTGTGCTATGAATTACCCACAGGCTTTATTCAGATTCCTGCACTGAGCAAGGGGTTAAACTCAATAGCCTAAAAAGGCCTTTCCAAATCTAAGATTTTAACTATGTACTATGACATTCATGGGGGCTATGAATCTAAACTCTATATTCAGAGAAAGTTTGCAGTTGAATCAATGTCAGCTCTGTAAGGTGGACTAGACTAAGAAACCAGTGCCGTCAAGATCAGGACTACTTTTATTCTAACAGCTACAGTAACAGAAACGTGCAAGTCTGAATGTCCTTTCCTCTGCCCTCATTTTATCTTTGTGTGAACTCAGGAGGGGCATGTCTGATACACTTTCTATTTTCTTGCCTGGGCTCAAACTCCACTTATCTGACTGTTGTCTTGGCAGCAGTTTTCTCCCTGTCCTTCAAGGTCATTCCCTGTGTCCTCTATGGTCAGATAAATACAAAAAAGTTGCTACCTTCAAGTGCCTGCTTGTGAGCTTTATGCCCATTGCTGGAAACAAATAATTTCTGAAATATATACAGTAACTATTTAATGGAGTAATGAGGAAGGAGATATCCATTATTCCCAAATGTCTGTTAAATCCAAAAGTACTTCATTGTGTCTATATCACTTATATAATGACATAATTAAGCAAATGATGTAATTTTCACCGTTTATGTAGTGACAACATTATATAAATATAATGGCATAATTGTCAGTTAAGTACCAGAAAAGATGTCCTATTCATTATAGGCGATTGCAATGCTAAAAAATACTGAATTGCATATAATGAATAAATAATGCAATAAATAAATTAAAAAAATATATAAGGAAATTCTAAGAGGCTAAAACCAGGGAGAATTTTACCTTAGCAAAAGATATCAGCTACTTTTTCTTTACTGATCTTTAAAATATGCTCATTATTATTTTATTTTAGGCCGACATCATAGTAGCCGATCCTTATTTGAAATCTGGAGATGACCCCTATACGTTACAGTATGGAGGTTGTGGGAAGCCAGGACGATACATTCATTTCACGCCAACATTCCTGACAAGTGACAGTTTGCATGATGTTTATGGATCTCGAGGTAATATCTTTTAATTAACTGTTTTTTAGTTCTCACTAATGAAACCTTCATTAGGCAGGAACTGAAAAAATAACAAACAAATAAGAAAGTTCATGAAAAATTAATGCCTTATCTCCCTTGGTCACTTCTTTCTGAAGGGTCAAAACTCAGGCAAAGACTTAACAAAGTCTGCATTTTAGAATGAACAGTGCAGTCTCCAGCCTTAAAACAACTATGCTGAAACTATCTTATCCCGGGTCTGTTCAGAGGATGGACAGATTCAAAAAATGGCTGGATTTCTGCATCTTTAGTAATAGGGTAGAAAAGGAGCTCTCAGTTTTGTGCATCAAGTCATTTATGCTATACTTAATGAAGTTCCCTCTTCGGGGACTGCACATATTCTTAAATACAGCTTCATTTCCAAAAATGTTCTCAGTGGCATCACCATTAAATAGCCACTAACAATGACATGTCTACAGTTCTGAACAGCATTTAAACATACACACACACATACGTGCACCCCCCCCAACTTTTTATTAACTGTCTATTGTAAATTTAAATTATTGTGTTACAATACAATTGTTTTACTTTTTCCTACAGGCAGAGTCCTTGTCCATGAGTGGGCTCATCTAAGATGGGGTGTCTTTGATGAATATAATTATGATGCTCCTTTTTATGTTTCTGAGAAAAAGAAAGTTGAGGCAACAAGGTATCTTTCTAGACTTAAATTGACCTAGTAGGATACAGTGGCTAGAGTACAATATACCATCAATTCTCTGTCATTAGAGCTTTGCCTCTTGATCAAGGATCCAGGATTTTTTAAAAAACTAACAGAAAAAGTTTGAAAACCCCTGGCCTAGCCTATTATCTTGAGGGTCCTTGTGAGAATAAAAATTTAAAAGAGGTAAGAGTTCACATTTGTTTCTTTAGAGGAAGGATAACTTTAAAATCAGTAATTTTTTTAAAAAATCATTATTTTTTAGAATTAATCTTTGACTTGGACTTATTATTTTTGATGTCATGAGCAGCTGTCCACAGGCTAAGCAGATGGGTATAGAGAATTCTGCTTCTCATTTGAGATGGTGTCAGATCTGAACAGTTTAAATGGTTATGTTGGAAGCTAATGCAATCCAGCTGCAGATTGATTGATTATGTGCCATCAAGTTGTTTTTGACTCCTAGTGACCAAATAGACAGATTTTTTTTCCTGATAATCTATCCCTAACCTGGTCTTTCAGGTCTTCCAATGGTGCACCTATCACCGCTATAACTGAGTCTGTCTACCTGGCTGCTGGGCAACTTTCTCTTCCCTTTCCTTCTACCTTTCTCCACATCAGAACCTTTTCCAGAGAGCTAGGTCTTTGGATATTGTGTCTGAAGTAGAATAATCTGAGCCTGGTCATTTGTGCCTCAAGTGAGAACTCTGGGTTGATTTGTTTGATGATCCATTG